TGCAAACAATAACAACCGCACGGCAGAAACCTCGTGCCACAATAAGGAAGCAGGAATCTTACAAGTTAAGGAACAACAACAACAAGCAATAGAGCAAATAGAGGAAATCAACGGGGGCACTCCTGCGGTACCGCCTCGTAGTCCCAAAAGTAAATATCTCGCATTCTTTCCTTATACCGCCCATGCGTATCAATAATCACAATGGCATGACAGAAACCTCATGCAAACAATAACAACCGTATGGAAAAAACCTCGTGCAACTATAACAACCGCACGGCAGAAACGTCGTGCCACAATGGCCACCGGACGGCAGAAACCTTGGGCCACAATAACAACCGCACGACAGAAACCTCATGCCACGATAACAACCGCACGTGCAACAACCCAACAATCATCCTAACAATAATCACAAAAACCAAAACATAATAATGAAACAATGACATTTCAAGGATAGTTATTTCAAGTAAAGAATCCCACAGTTAAATAATGAATATGGAATCAAGGAAGCAGGTAATTCAACTAACCATATTGTACAAGTTGCAAATAAGAGATAAGACACGTAAACATGTGAAATTAGGCTAAACATGATGACTACACATGCTGAAGTAACTCAATTAAGGAAATAAAAGGAAACTACTAGCAAAACTGAATTTTTAATATTTAGCCGGTGTACGCACTCGTCACCTCGCGTGCACGACCTTCACATATTGTAAATTAGCATAACAGTACCAAATCCTAAGGGGCATTTCCCCCACACTAGGTTAGACAAGTAACTTACCTTAACCCTCGCTCAATCAATCAATAAGAAGGTTTTTCCCTCAACTTTTCGGCTTCGAACGACTCAAATCTAGCCAAAAACAATTACATACTATAAATATAAACTATAGGAAACTAATCTAAATAATGAAATTATGGTTTTAGCAAGAATTGGAAAAATTGGCACAAAAAGTCGACCTGGACCCACGTCTCGGAACCCGACCAAAATTATAAATCCGGACAGTCATTCGATATCGAGTCCAACCACACAAGAATTATCCAAATCCGAACTCATTTAGTCTTTGAAAACCCAAGAATTTCGTCTAAGAACTTTACACCTTTCCCCCAAATTTTCAATCCAAATCCTTAATAAAATGAAGAAATCGAAGATAGATTAGTGAAATTTAATAAAAAACGAGTCAAGAATCCTTACCCAAATGTTTTCTCTGAAAATCCCTCCAAATCTCGCCTCAATCTGAGCTCTCAATGTCCCAAAGTGAAAATGAAATCAAACCCTCGATTTTAAATTTTAATTTGCTGCGCATATATTTCTTCTTCGCGAAAATGGAATTTGCCTCGCGTTTGCAAAGCACAAAATACTTCAGGCCAAACTTCCTCTTACATGAACGCGAGGGTCCACTCGTGAACGCGATGACAAGCAATCCCAGACCTCTGTGAACACCGAGCCTCACTTGCGAACGGGTAGGCCAATGCGTGAGACTCACCCAAGCTGCTTTCCTCATTGCTAACGCGTAACCCAGCCCGCGATCGTGTAGCACCAAGACCTGACCCCTTCGCAAACGCGTGGCCATCATCGCAAACGCGAAGGGTAAAATTCTAGTGATCTCTGAAGCCTCTACTCGAACGCGGGAGCATCATCGCGAACGTATAGAAGGAAACCAGAAGCACCAGATTTCAGCAGTCATAATGTTCCGAAATGCACCGAACATGGTCCGGATCACCCCCGAGGCCCCCGAGACCTCAACCAATTATACCAACAAGTCCTAAGACATCATAGCCGAGCCTTTAAATAACATCAAACAATGCTAAAACCACAAATTGTGCATCAATTCAAGCCAAATCAGCTTTTGAACTTCTAACTTCAGCATCCGATGCCGAAACTTATCAAATCATGTCCGATTGACCTCAAATTTTGCACACAAGGCATAATCGATATTACAGACTTATTCCAACTTCCGAAATTGCAATCCAACCCCGATATCAAAAAGTCCACTCCCGGTCAAACTTTCCAAAAATCGTCCAATTTTCCAACTTTCGCAAATATACGCCGAAACGACCCACAGACCTCCAAATAAACATCCGGACACGCTCCTAAGACCAAAATCACCATACGGAGCTACTGGAACCATCAAAATTCCATTCCGGAATTATCTTCACACAAGTCAAACTACGATCAAGTCCTACGACTTAAACTTCCAATTTAGGGACTATGTGTCCATTTCACTCTGAAACTCCCCCGAACCCAACACTAAGCACCCCAACAAGTCAAGTAACCACAAAATGAAACAAAGGGAGCACTAAATAGCGGATCAAAGCTAATACTCTCAAAACGACCGGCCGAGTCATTACATCCCCCCTCTTAAAACAAACATTCATCCTCGAACGAGTATAGAGATATACGTGAAGTGGTGAAAAGATGAGGATGACTGCTACGCATATCATGCTCGGTCTCCCAATTCTCCTCCTCAATTGGCTAGCCCCTCCACTGAACCTTCACTGAAGCGATGTTCTTTGACCTCAACTTTCGAACCTGCCTGTCCAAAATGGCCACCGGCTACTCAACATAAGAAGGATCCTTGTCCAACTGGACTGAGCTGAAGTCTAACACATGATACGGATCGTCTTGATACTTCCAGAGCATGAAAACATGGAACACTAGATGAACTACAGCTAGACTAGGTGGTAGTGCAAGTTTGTAGGCCACCTCTCCAACCCTCCCAAGAATCTCAAATGGTCCGATATACCTAGGGCTCGGCTTGCCCTTCTTCCCGAATCTCATAACACCCTTCATGGGTGAAACCCGGAGCACGACCCGCTCCCCAACCATGAATGCAACGTCATGAACCTTCCGATCCACAAAATTCTTCTATTATGATTGGGCTATACGAAGTCGATCCTGAATCAATTTAACCTTTTCCAAAGCATCCTGAACAAAGTCTGTACCCAATAGTCTAGCCTCAGCCGGCTCAAACCAACCCCCGGGAACCGCTTACCATACAAAGCCTTATACGGTGCCATCTGAATGCTCGACTGATAATTGTTGTTGTAGGCACACTTCGCAAGCGGCAAGAACTGATCCCAAGAACCCCTAAAGTCCATCACGCACGCACGGAGCATATCCTCCAATATCTGAATAGTGCGCTCGGACTGTCCGTCCTTCTGAGGGTGAAATGTTGTACTCAACTTCACCTGCGTGCCCAACTCATGCTGTACGGCTCTCCAGATTTGCGATGTAAATTGTGTATCCCGGTCATAGATGATTAATATCGGCACTCCATGAAGCCTGACAATCTCGCAAATATAAACCTGAGCCAGCTGCTCCGAAGAGTAAGTAGTCACCACTGGAATAGAATGAGCTGACTTGGTCACTCTATCCATAATCACTCAAACTGCATCAAACTTCATCTTAGTACGCGGAAGCCCAACAACAAAATCCATAGTGATCCGCTCCAATTTCTACTCCGGAATCTCTAGCTTCTAAAGCAATCCACCTGGCCCCCGAGGCCCCCGGGACCTCAACCAATTATACCAACAAGTCCTAAACATCATACAAACTTGGTCGAGCCTTCAAATCACATCAAACAACGCTAAAACCATGAATTGCTCATTGATTCAAGCATAATGAGCTTTTGAACTTCTAACTTCAACATCCGATGCCGAAACCTATCAAATCATGTCCGATTGATCTCAAATTTCGTACACAAGTCATAATCCATATTACGGACCTATTCCAACTCCCGAAATTGGAATCCGACCTCGATATCAAAAATTCCACTCCTGATCAAACTTCCCAAAAATCTTTCAATTTTCTAACCTTCGCAAATATACACCAAAACGACCTACGGACCTCCAAATCAACATCCGGACACGCTCCTAAGACTAAAATCACCATACAGAGCTATTGGAGCCGTCAAAGATCCATTTTGGAGTCGTCTTCACACAAGTCAAACTACTCCTACGACTTAAACTTCCAATTTAGGGACTATGTGTCCCATTTCACTCCGAAACTCTTCCGAACCCAATTCCAAGCACCCCGGCAAGTCAAGTAAATACAAAATGAAACAGAGGGAGCAATAAAGAGGGGATCGGGACTAATGCTCTCAAAACGACCGGCCGGGTCGTTACATGAGTTTTACCCTTAGTACAATTCTGAAAAAGGTAAAAATCCTCCTTATACATCAATCACGGATACTCTACCGGCATCAGGCAAGATCCGCGCCATGATATCCGGTTGGGTTAGGATATCATGGTTCTGTTAGTCATGTGCAACCGTTTGTAATGCTTTCCGAGGTCTTGGTGCTTGTTCTAGGTTCGGGGGTATTGTCTTGTCAGGCCCGGTGGCGAGCACCCATTCCAGCTCCCGAAACAAAGAGTTCTCAAATTCGGTCTCTATCTCATACATTAATACTTCGTTTGATTCACCGAGAACTCGGGGTGTGTGCTGACCCCGAGTCCACCCGTATACATATGTTTAGGCGGATTTTAGGGTATTAACTCCTTGTTTTTTGGCCAATGGACTACTTTCATATGTGATCTATTCAAATGATAATCTGATTATATTATAATAATTTTACAATTTACCCATCCCCGATCTTGGTAATCGGAGTAAAGTGTCAGCGTAAGTGGTCTGCTAGCAAACGTACAAAGTGAATTGCAATTTTACTATCCCTTTTCTTTTCATTCACTTTGAGTTGATCCAGAAGTAGAATAAAAAGAAATAAAATCATTAGAGAATCATTTTGTCGTGTACATTTGAACCAAAAAAAAAAAAGGAACCTTAATATAACATTAAAAATTGTATCATGTGATCAGGAGGGTCACGGGTGGAAGCTTATTGCACCCGAATGCTTTTTCTTTTTGACACCCGAAAGGCAAATATTCAAAAGAAAAAGAGAGAGAAAAGGAAACATGGTTTGGTTCCCATACACATGTTAAATTAACACAAATTAAGCAAAATAGACATGGATGAACAATAATAGTAACAGTACGTTAGTAGAAAAAGTTTGTAATACAAGATACTAGGCTAGGACAGCTGAAGGGGAAGATGTAAACAAAATATACATGCATGATCCTCTGACGGTATTGAGCATCACTGCAATCTTCTTCTCACTATAACTTTAGATTCTTCATAAGCCTGTTCAGTAAAGTTATAGTATTAAGAACGAGTAATGTAAAAAAAAAAAAAAAAAAAAAAAAAAAAAAAAAAAAAAAAAAAAAAAAATACGATTACTTAAAAGATAACTACCATACAAGTTAAATAAGTCAGACAACCTGCTATAAGATGTTAATAACAATTGTATAAGTAACTTAAAAAAAACGGTAAACTTACTTTTTAAAAAAAGGACTAAAAGTTAAACCCCATTAACCAAAGGTTTTTAAAAAGAAACGTTTTAACGACGACGAAAACCTTACGGTCTAAGTTTAAAGAATTGGTTTAATTAAAACGATTTAGAGTTTAAGNGTTAAAAGGTTTTTTTTACTAACTGTACAGTATATACAAGATGGATGTTGTAGAATTCTAGTATCAATTTGCTTATAGAATGCTTAAACTATCTTACAGCTAGAGAACTTGGGATTGCTGAAGAGCCATGAAAGAATGTGAGGAACTCATAAAGTAAATGTGAGGAACTCATAAAGTNTGTTTTACGTCATGTTATATATGATACATATCGAGACAAGATACGTACAATTGTTAAACAATTTGTGTTAAGTATAATGAGGTGATCAGAGATTAAGATGTAGGACAATATGCATGTGCTGTTAAAGAAGTGGGATTAGATTTCATGTGGGTTACTTAGGAGCTTAAACAAGTAGGATTAGATTTCATGTGGGGTTGCTTAGGAGCTTAAATAGGCAACATGCACAGCTTCCTAAGATAACAAAAATCAAACAATTAATCTGGAAGTTTCAAGTATCTTTTTATTAAAATATATGTCTTCTAATTTGTGTGTGTTTATGTGTATATATATCTATATTATCAGGAGGGAATCCTGTGAATACACTTGCCTTAATTAAAGCTATTACAGTGGAATTAGTCGGCAAGAAAACCTACCACAAAGAGAGCCTCAGAATTCCAGAAATTTATCCGTTTATTAAGTGTATCGTAACCGTTAGCATACAGACAGTGCCTAAAACACTATCAGGTCACCTAAAGAATTCTAGTGGTGACCGTCGTTTGCCATAATAAGCGATTAATAAACGGAAAAATAACGCGGATAACCTACTACAACGTATCATAATGAGGAATTATTAAATTCAAAATTAATGCAGGTAATAACCTACTACAATGTGTTAAGATACATTAGCAGTGTATAAGGTAAATTCTATCATGGGGAGGAAACAGCTGGAAATAGGAAAAAATAATAGACAATGGTTCCTAAAATCTATCTTTGTGAACATTGTTGGCAGGAGGATACTACAGTACACTTGGCCTTAAAATGTGAAATATGTGAATATGTCTTGTTGGTAGAATGAAAATATTATTAGTTTGTTACGTTGCTCGGACCCTTTAAAAATGCTAGTGCACTGGTATCGGATCCTCCAAAAGAATCCAACTGGTCGTATTTTTGAAGAGTCTGAGCAAAATAGGTAATTTGTGTGAGAAGCAATGAGTTACAGTACCTTTGTTCATTAGCATAACTTCTGCCATCGCTTCCAGCAGTAGTGTAATTGGGCAAAGGTACTTGATCATTTTCTATCTGCATGATATCCTTTACAAGCAGTTCATAATGCCTTCTCACTTCCTCTGCTGATTTTCCACCTACACACCTTGCAATATTATTCCAGCGATCAGAAGTGTCTTTGTCATATAAAGCCAAAGCCTCCTCGAATTTCTTGTTCTGTTTTGCTGTCCATGTTGCCATTGCAGAATAATATTTGAGCTAATAATTACGTGGATGATGATTGCAAAGATGATTGTATACTAGGCAAGGAGAAGAAGTTTTGGAGGAAAGTGAAGATTAAGTCAAGAGGATGGCATTGACAAGAGATTGCTAAGCTATGTTACTTATAAACTGGAGGAGCAGAAGGTGTTGGGGTGTAGCAAGTTGGAGAACAGCATCTAGGGTTGGGGTCAGGGCGGATCCAAGATTTAATGTTTATGGATTCCTGCAATGACCTAGCGTAAATTTTTAATAGTAACTGGGTTCATATTCAAACATTTATAAATATTTAATGAATTTTTGGAACACATTTACACTGTTTGGACAAAAGCTACTGGGTTCACGTGAAGCCGTAGGTCGCAAGTTGGATCCGCCCTGGCTGTGGTGGAATGGTTGAAATTTCTCCACCCTAAATTAAAAGTCTTGAATTCAAACTTTGGGAAAAAAATTCTTGATAAGGAGCTTTACACTCTTAGTTGACTTATCTGTGCGAATTCGAATTAGTCAGTCCAACCAATGCTGGAGCTAAAGATAAGGACGAGGTTCAATTGAATCTCCTTTATTCGAAAATTATACTGTGCAAGTAAGGTAAAAATAAAATTTATTTTTATATAGAAAAAATTGCATTTTTTGAATCACCTATTAGGAATCGTGGTTTCTCCACTGGGTTCGGTGAGTTTCGAATACTGAATTCCTGAAATAAAAATATGTTGGGGGGAATATCTTTTCATTTTCTTGGAGCGGGGTTACACATAAATGTGGTTCTTGTCTTAAGAGCCACAATCTGAGATGAGGCTAAGGGAAGATGTGGAGGGAAAATAAGATAATATTAATGTATCTACAGACAGACTTTAAATTTAATTCTTGTAAAGCCCCTGGTCTTGCTTTTTAATTATAATAATTAATATCATCAGCAAGTGGATCATCTAGGGAATTCACCTAGCTGGAGAGGATTAGATCCCCTAAATTCTAATAGCTAAGATTTATGCGCTACATTATCGCTGGCAAACGGGCAGATCGGCTCGGATACGAGCATGTTGTAAATGGATAATTCAAAAATGAATAATTTATCCGACCCGTATTTGAAACGGATAAAAAAATAGTTATCCGACTGATAATACGGATATCCATATTATCCACTTTTGAGGGAATTCCTAATCTCCCAAACTTGAGGAACCCCCAATTTAAGGTTTTACGAATGTAAAGGTTAAATGCATTAGTTATCCATTGGTTATACATTTGGAGTCTGTTTGGAAAGCCACCTTGTAATTGGAATTGGTGTAATTACTAGGGTAGTAATTACACAGCCTAGTAATTACACAGTTGTGTAATTACGATAGCCTGTTTGTTTCTCATAGTGCAATTACAATGTAATTACAAGTTTACTGTTTGGTTGCACAAGTGTAATTACACAGTTAGATTAAATTTTAAATTAAATAATTATCAAAACTAAAAATTAATATAATAAATATATACCTATAAGATTTTATAAGTATAAATGATAATATATTTGGTATTTAAGATGTATATTTTTTCGTGAATATACATTAATTAATAATCAT